TTTGAAACATCTTCCCCGCATGAAAGGCGCTATCTCAAAAGTATTATTAGGTTACTGTTGTGCAATGCATATATGTCTGCAAGCAATTTATTATAGTTGCTGCAATAGAGGTATCATACTGGGAAGTGATAGGACTGTCCAGCACTGAGGGTTCATTGTGGTTTTGTAAGCTTACATTAATTGCTGCACATCTGTGCTGAACATGGAACGAGGCCGCCCCCCACCACACCCCGGGCACACAAAGGGAACATAGCTCGGAATTCACTCTTCATTTATACGTGACTCACCAGATACCACATACCAGTTGCTTGGAAAGCACAAGAAATAGTTATGTTACTTCCAAGTAATGCTGTGCAGGAGTCCCACAGACAGCTCACATGCGACTCAAAATAAAAAATAACAAACCCTTGCATAAAACCGGATCATTATATGTATACTTAAGGATCAAATTTCACCTCTGCTGGTTCTCTCCATATGAAGTCTAAAGTACACTCCACGCCACATTTTGTGGGAGACACATCTGTTCCATTTGCTTTCATAAATACAACAGTTTTAATCAGCTGGTATGTGGGCAAGAGTCCAAGGCAGGGTGAGAGTGAGGAGGTGTTGGCTGAAAAACATGCTGCAATGAACACTAGTGTATAAGCCTCAGAATGCGTGACTTTTAAAGGATCAATGTGGAAGCACAAGTGGAGCAAGCAACTAAAATGGTTAGCAAACATTTATTGCAACACCAAGCTCATCATGCCATTGATGTGTGTGAAATAAAGCTTACGTTAGGCAGATTTTCAATGTATTTTGACTTTGAAACACTTTCATTCAGCGCTTGCACGTGAGGTATGGCCCAATAAAGCAGACAGCAAAAAAAGACCTCTACCTTTATTTGCACAGGAGAAGCTGAGACAAAGCCTATGGTAACATAGCAACAGTTTATCAAGAGTGGATCATTTTAGTCCATCTAGCCTATAACATTTCCAGGAATTTGTCTTGTTTCTTCTTGAAATCCTTTATGGTCCATCTCAAGACCTATCTCTTTGCCCACGCATTTGGTCTCTTTTTCCTCCTCACCCCTCGGCTCCCACCCCAAGCTCTGGTCCCAAGCCATCATTGTTAAAAGCCTTGGGATGTCCTCCCTAAGTGAAAGGCGCCATACAAATGTAAATTTGTATCGTGTAGTGGTGTACGGGGGCAAAATGTATCACTTTTCATAAATTGTTCCTTATGATAACCAAGTGATTCCGCTTCAAATGAAAAGGCAGAGATTAAGAAAGAACAAAAAATGTACTTTAGGGCTGAGACGGTTCAATCATACAATTTACAATCCAATTTACATTTATATAGCACATTCCAAGTCAGGAAGACCTTTCAAAGAGTTTTTATATTGCATTAAAACAGCCAATAAAATGTAAAAGTACAGGCAGCACTCACTGCTTTTGTTGGGTGGGTGGGGGTGATGGAGCGGGGAAGGTCAGTCTGACGCATATGGAAACCATGACCAGGTTTAAGAGTATCCAAACTAGACCGATACTGTCACATACAAAACATCTACTCATGGAAATGTCCCGTGTCTGAAATGAAATCCGCACTCTCTCCCTGGAGGGACACACCCTGCTTACATAATTCCAGACAGGATTAGGCACAGGTTGGCAAGAACCAAGTCTGGCTCAGGAACTCCAGACTAGCGAGACTGCCACAAGCTTTATTCTGAATTTTTATTGCCAAGGACCTTCCTCAAGGATCTCCCCTCCTCCCAAGGATGATAGTCACTAGTTGGTCATTCGAATTGAACAAGTGTGAGCATTCACTAGATGGACACCAGGTACCAGGAGATCCTTGCAAGCCTCTTGGAGAGCAACACAGCTCACCGAGAAATGCAGGATAGCTTTGCCACCATCTTCCTGCCCGCAGCTCAGACACACATCTCAGTCTATCGTAGTGGTTCCACTTGAACAGTAGCTGCTTTACTCTCTGCAGATACTAAGTCCTAGATATGTATTCATGAACCTGGATTCCAGGTAACGCCATCCAGCAGCTGTTGTCCCAAGCTTCAGTTTCCTCATCAGCTTTTTATCAGACAACTGCCGTCAGTGTGGTGGGAGGACCTTTATAGGACAGCTTGTGACGTGCCTGACATCTTCATATTCTCATGGTCCAAGTCCAACGCTGTGCACCAGCTGATTAACCACGTCCTCATATGAGGGGCTATGGCAAATAGACATGCCTGCTGTGAAGCTGACTTGCCCCCAGGGTGCTCAGTGGAATCCTCTTTCCCTACAGCCGATCCCCTTTTTATCAGAAATCCAATTCACTGTTTAGTCGTGGGCTTCACATAAAGGCCAGAAGAAAACTCTTCTGCTGGAAGCTCAGGAGCTCAAAAACATGAAAGAGAATGCTTGATACACCACAATCTGAAACATCACAATCTTAACCTGCATTTAGACTTCTTACTGTTAGAAGTAGCTCATGAAGATCAATGGACGTGGATCATGGAAATTTCAGCATAGAAGGAGGCCAATTGGCCTATATTTCTGTCTGTGTTGATGCTGGCTCCTCCACTAGAATTATCTGCTGTTCCATTCCCCAATTTTGACCATGGAATTACAATTGGCTCATCACATCTGTACTGTCAAACCACTTTTGCAGAGATACTATGTGAATTAAGGGTTTGATCACTCAGGGGATCAGCAGCTTTGGACTCAGCCTGAAATCGTGCAAAGACTAGCCATGAGCTGGGCCGAAAGAAAAGAGCGGGTGCACTTTTTCCGCGGAATCCGCTACAAACTTTTGGAAGTGGCACGAGCAGGAAATCAGCTTTGTTCGGAGCTCAGCCTAAACTGAGCTCCTGTCACCGATTATAATAATAATAATAATCCTTGCATATGATGTAGCGCCTTATCATGTCTCCGAGACATCTCAAAGCCCTTCACAGAATATACTGTAAAATGAATTGACTGTATATATTTGTGGACGAAAGGCAGCAGGCAATTGCGCACAGCAGTGTCCCATAAATGGTCGTGGATTGAGTGACCAATTTATTATTATTATTGTTTGATAAGTGCTGTACTATTCAAATGAACATATTTAGTATTTTAAACATACTACATGTTCAGGAAGTATATGCCTTTAGGTTTAATCCGGGTTGTTTCATAAAATACGTCTCTCAATAGCACCAATCAACCCGCCTCAATTTTCTGTAAAATTTGTCAAATTTCCCACAATATTTGGCAAATATTTCTGACTTTTCTATTGGCCCAAGCCATAACCTCAAATGAGATACAATCTCCCCATTCTGGTAGTGTCCATCTCAAATGCTTTAGTTCTGAAGCACTTTGAGATATTCATCCTATGTGATAGGGGCTATTTCTGGAATACCGTGGCATAGTGGTTAGTGAGAGGACCAAATGAGAGGACCTGGGTTCAATTCCCGGGCGGGGCGAAACCTTAGGCAAGTTCCTTATTCCACATGGCTCTGTTTATCTAGCAGTAAATCGGAACCTGTTTGTTAATCGATTGGCGGATTCTTTTGGGGGTAATAATCCCTCCCCCCAAAAAATAGTTTGGCCACTCAATCCACGACTGTTTGTGGGTGACTGCTGTGCGCAATTGGCTGCTGCATTTCACCCACAAAATACACAGTTTGTGAAGCGCTGTGAGATGTCTCAACGACATGATAAGGCGCTATATCAAATGCAAGGATTACTATTATTTTTATACATGTACTTGTGATTTTATTGCCTCTAAAGGCTTGTGAGTGGATAACAAAGGAAGATTCTTGGGCCAGAACCCCCATAGCTCAAAGTTTCATTGGAAATATTCCTTTTGGCTGGATAGAGAAGGGCATCAGTCCAGGTCCAGCGTAGCTTTACTGAGCTGAATTTTACGTAGAGTTGGATCGAGTCAAGGAAAAATAGCAGATTTTGTCCAGCGTTCATAATCCTTTTTTTCTAACTTAAACCAAGATTCAGTTGCTTGTAAATACAACAACAAAACAACTGCAGTTATATATAGCCTTTCACATCGGGAGGATGTCCCAAGGCACTGGACAGTTGAGGGCTTTCCACCCCACCACCCTTGGCCTCCATCCCTCCCGCATCAATCCCCCAGCTCTCCCTTAGAGCTGGGGTTTGGATTCGAGAGGGATGGGGGCCAACGTTGTGGTGTGGGGGGGGAGAAGATGACTAACGGCACAATCGCATAGGAAGGTCATGAGATGGAACTTGAAGAAGGCAAGGGAAGGGGAGAGGTGAAAGGGCTGCGGGATGGAGTTCCAAAAGTTGGGAGCAGAAAGGCTCAAGGCCTGATTGTCGACGGTAGGTTGCGCAGGGCGGGGGACATGGTTTGCTGAGTGCAGGGACCACATTTTCCAGTGATTAGCCTATATGCATAACCTTGTTTTGTTTTCTTTGTAAGATCTTGACTGCTTCCTCTAGTTCCATGGCTCCCCTTAATTTAGTTTAATCTGCAAATGTAGCCTGCAAAACCAGATGTACTAGCAGCAGGAGGGGTCCCAGCAAAGGGATTTCCAGAAAATCGGCTTCTAAATTAAGACAGTATTTAAGAATTTTCTAAATTCTGGATGATCTATAATGCTATCAAAATAGGGTGAATCTTAACTCGGATAGAATTTCTCTCCCCTCGATCCTACATGTGTCAGGAAGCAATGCTCTGAAGAATGTGCGTTGCAAAGCTCTATTTCCATGTTTTGGGATTTGTAACACAAATGTAAATGACACTGAACATTTAAACATCAATCCCAGTTACAATGCTGACTTGTAATATAGATAAAGGTGATGGCGCTCTTCATGGTGTTAACGCATATTGACATATCGGGAAGTTACATAATAAACACACACATGTGTTAAATATCACACTGTGTGAAACAGAACATTACCCCATAGTGCGGAACCTCAGAAACAAAATGTTTATTGCCAATTTCCAACAGATTGCGTGACTGCATTGCACAAGGTTTTTTAAAGTGAATTATGCAAGTTGTCACTTACGGTTTGTGGAGTAGCTGTTTGAATTTGGGCTCGAGTTCCTGCTTGCACCTGGTGAGAATCATAACCGCTCCCCTCACCGCTGCCTTCACCAGACCCCTGTGGGAAATAGATGCTTCAGATTAGCATTGTCAAGACAGTATTTTTGGGGTATAAAACTGATACCAGTGGCTGTAAATGTCTCGCACTCAAACGCGCTTACTTACATATGGCTCTTCCTCTTCACACTGTTCCTCACTGGCCCTTGGGTCTGATTTAATCGTTAATTGCTGTATGGATCCCTGAAAAATAGGAGAATTACTTTGTAATTACAACACAAATGTCTTGAGGTTTCACTAAAAATACCAAGCAATGCTCACTAGAATCTCACTGATAGAGAGTGGTGATGTGCACCATCCACGAAACAGACAAATGTCATAGGAAGAATGATGCTGTAAAAATTGGGACCAGTTTTAAAAAGTACCACTATTGTGTGTGTTGCAGGTTAGCTAGAATCACAGAATTTTACAGCAAAGACTCAAGCTATTTGCCACATTAAGTCTGCCCTACTGTTTTTCACCACACAATAATCCTAATCTCATGCTCGCTCCACATATCCTTTCATATTCCTCTTTGTTTTCAAACACCTTATCTAATTCCCTCTTAAAATAATGTAGACTTTGCTTCAACAACAACCTGCGGCAGAGAATTCCACATCTATATCATCTTCTGTTGTACTAATTATGCTCTCAGTATACTGGCTGTTGCTGAGAGTAAATCTCTCAGTGTTTTCCCTTTCTTGCCTCCTGTCTCCCACAATTTACAAAAAGCGGGAAAACAGTAAATCAATTGCTCTCTTGCTTTTGTTAATGTCATACTTAAAGTGGCCACTAGAGGGTGGGCGAGAGCAGCCCAAGGTATCACAACTGGGCTAATGGTTGACTCCTCTTCGCAAAATCACAAGATTTTATTTGGCCCTAAAAATAAAATAATAATAATAATAATCCTTGCATTTGATATAGCGCTTTTCACGTCGGGAGGACGTCCCAAAGCGCTTCACAGAACACACTGTAAAGTGAATTGACTGTATATTTGTGGGCGAACGCGGCAGCCAATTGCGCACAGCAGTGTCCCACAAACAGTCGTAGATTGAAAATGACCAATTTATTATTGTTTTTTGGGTTATTTGGAGGGATTATTATTAGGTGTGTGGAGTAAGGAAACTTGCCCAAGGTTTCGCCCTGCCTGGAATTGAACCCAGGTGTCTTGCTTGCAAAGCAAGTGCTCTAACCACTGAGCTACAGGACTCCACAAAATAAATAAAATACAATTGATCATTGACTTCAGAGATGTTTGTGGGACATTGTTGCTGTGTTTGCCTATGAAACACAAAGTCACTACACTTAGTGCTCTTACATCTTCCCTCTGAGTTAGAAGGTTCTGGGTTCAAATCCTAAGTCGACACTCCAATGCAATATTGGGGTAAGTGTTGCATGGTCGAAGGTGCCGTCCTTCGGATTAGACCTGTCTGCCTGTTCAGGTGGACGTTAAAGATCCTGTGGCACTCTTCGAAGAGAGAAGGGAGTTTCTCCCAGTGTCCTGGCCAATAATCCCAAATAAAATTGATCACTTTCATGGCTGTTTATGGGTCATTGCTGTGCGCAATTGTGCTGTCATATTTGCCTACAAATACGCAGTCATTCCATTTCACAAAAAATCCTGTGAAACACTTGACATCCTTGCAACATCATTATTTATCTTCCTGATGTGAAAGCCAACAAAGGCAAGGATTACTATTATTATTATTATTCACAGTTTACTGCCCTAAATCAAACCAAGTGAGGCTTAAATAAAATTGGAAAGGCCAGTTTCAGCATTCAGAATCAATCCCTATATGTTATCTGCAGACATGGGATTAACTTCCACATTTATGTGAAGACACCTAACTCTATTTACCTGCCTCCACCCTCGATTCCAGGGCCACTACTGTCCTGACTAATTACCTGTAAGACATCAAGTCCTGGATGAGCTCTAACTTTGTCCCCCTAAATGTCAACAAGACAAGAGGCTCTCTTACCTGGCTCCTGCCAGTGACTTCTCCCTGACAGCATCAATCTACATGGAGGCATTCTCCACCTCATGGAGCCAATATGGGACCTGTGTCTTGCCCCCAACTGTCCTTCAATCCCTACATCTATGCTCTGACACACTCAGCTTACTCCCACCTGAAATATTGCCTGCCTCCGCCACAACTTCTCTCTTGGGATACGAAGACCCTAATCCATGGTTTTATCATGTCCAGGCTTAACCATATCAATCCTCTGCATACCAGACTACCTGACTCTTCCCTATACAGGCTGTAGACCATCCAGAACACTGTATCTGGTGTCCTCTGCCACACCAGGCTCCATGAGTCTATCACTCCTATTCTTGTCTGGTTTGATTGGCTCCCTATCCCCCAGAGGATGAAATTCATTATCCTCATCCTCACCTTCAAATCCCTCCACAGTCTTGCCCCATTTTACCTATGTGACCTCCTCAAACCATGCCAACCTGGCTGCTCCCTTCACTCAGTGGACACTGACCTGCTTCAAGACCCCTGCCCTACCATCGGCAGTTGGGCTTTCATCCTACCTGCCTCAATCTCTGTAACTCCATCTTGGTCCCTCTGAATTGCTCCTACCTATCTTTCAAGGTCCATCTCTAGATCTTCCTCTTTTGCTACACCTTCTTCTTTCCCCTCACCACGCCCTTTGGCTCCCACCCTCAGCTTGAGTGCCATGTCTGTCTTGTCTTCCCGATCTGAAAGGTTGCTATATAAAATATATTTTTATTGTTTGTACATGAGTAAGTTAGAATTGAAGATGGCAGCTTTTCAACCAGGTTTAATGCAATTCGTTAAATAAGGAATGGAATATTTTTAGGCACACCACAATTTTGAGACATTTAAAGTTTTTGAAGTGTTACATTAAGGACACACAATTGATTGGCAGCAAAATATTAGAATTAGATTAGAATGCATGCGCCACAGAAAACCAGAGGCTACTTTTGTCTGGATTTGGAAAGATGTTAAGTAAGGAAAGAATTCCATCCATCCCTCAAAGTATTTGTGAGAACTGAAAGGTTCTATAGAAGCTCTGTACTGCAGCTTAAGCTTTAGGCAAGAAATGATCAGATGGACTGCAGCTCTGGGACTCTTTAAGCTTCATCTTGTTGCAAGCTGTCACCTGGCTCATGTTTTTTTTTAACTGAGTCTTAGCACTCCAGCTTTTATTTTGGCATTTGTCATCTTTTGAAAATAATAATTAGCCTTCATCCAAAGAGTATAACTTTGATGAGTGAGCTTTTGGCCATTTGGCCCCTGCTCTTTGGAACTGCATCCCTCAGTCCCTCCGCCTTGCCCCCTCCCTCCCACCTTTAAAGCCCACCTTAAGACATTTCTTGCTGACTGTGCTTTCTGTCACTTTTCCCCTCCCAAATTTCTCAGCTCCCTCCAACCCCAGCTCAGGTTTAATTGGTGATCTATACAAACAGGATTGAATGTGCCGATCGAGACCTCGGTTTTCAAATATGGAAAGTTGTCTCCAATAATTTACATTTAGATAGTGCCTTTCACGTTGGGAGGACATGAAAGGCACTATATAAATTGGTCTTAAGAAATAGGTCTTAAGAAATAGGTCTGAAGGCAGGTTTTAAAGTAGAGAGGGAGAAGACGAGATGGAGGGACTCCTGATGGAGTTCCAGAGAGTGGGGTCAGAGTAGGTGATAGTTAGCTTGTCTAATGGAGTAGCTTGTTGGTTAGAAGTGAGAGGACCTAGGTTCAATTCCCAGTAGGGCAAAACGTTGGGCAAGTTTCCTTACTCCACATGCCTCTGTTTACTTAGTGGTAAGTAGGAGCTGGGTTTTTAGTCAGTCGGTGGATCCAGGGGTAATAATTCCTTTAGAATAAATAAAAATAATTGGTTACTCATTCCACGACTGTTTGTGGGACGCTGCTGCGCGCAATTGATTGCCGCGTTTCAGCCACAAAATATAGTCAATGCACTTTACAGTAGATTCTATGCAGCGCTTTGAATAGTCTCAAAAACGTGATAAGGCACTGTATCAAATGCAAAGATTATTATTATGATTACTATTATTCTACCTTGTTACCTTCAGGTAAGTGGAAATCTTAGTCACACACCAACCGCCTTCCATACCCAAAAACATTGTTAGGTGTTTTTGGGGATCAATTAGTGTGTGGGTGGAACTAGCTTCAGATGGATTTAATATAGGAAAAAGAACGCCTTCCCATCTTATTCCTCTGTGTCTCGAGGTCCTCACTAACAGAGATCACTCAATTTGTCCTAAAAGAATATATGAAATAATAAATGGTAAAATATTCAAACAGAATATTCCTTCGCCAAATCCTCCTTCTACTCCAAGGTTATCTTGGAGGCAAAGGACCACCCAGGCTTCTCTTTTCCACCACAAACCGTCTCCTCCGTCCGCCTTCCCACGCCTTGCCCATCTTCACCTCAAACTCCAACTGTGAGGAGATGCTGGACTTCCTCGAATCCAAAATCGAGGGGATACGTTCAGCCACCTCAGCCCCATCCACAGCCACCCCCACATCACCTCTCCCTCATGATCCAACCCCCATCCATTCCCCCCTTTACTTCTTTGACCCTATTTCTCCCTCCTCCCTCACTGCCATCATTCGCAAACTCAAACCCACACCTGCTCCCTCGATCCCATCCCCACCTCTCTCCTCGTCTCCCAACTCCACCTTCTGGCCCCTTTCCTGTCCGATGTCATCAATCTCTCCTTGTCCACCGGTTCAGTTCCCACCCCCGAAAAATAGCAGTCATCACTCCCATCCTGAAAAAACTTTCCCTGGATCCATCCCTCCTCTCCAGCTACCGCCCCATCTCTAACCTCCCATTCCTCTCCAAGGTTCTAGAACGAGCCACTCCTTTCTTTCTCGCCATTCCCTCTTTGAACCCCTCCAATCCGGCTTCCGCGCTGCCCACAGCAGGGAAACAGCCCTGGTCAAAGTCACTAATGATCAGGGCTCCCTCTGCCTCCTTGTCCTCCTCGACCTCTCTGCCGCCTTCGACACTGTCGACCACTCCATCCTCATACACCGCCTCTCCTCCTTACTTAATCTTCGCGGACCTGCCCTTGCCTGGATCGATTCCTATCTCTCTTACCGTTTCCACTTTGTTGCCTCTACGGTTTCTCCTCCAGCCCCCGCACTGTCACGTCTGGCGTCCCCCAGGGCCCTCTCCTCTTTAATATCTATATGCTTCCCCTTGGTGAC